AAAAAAAAAAAAAAAGAAATTAAAGCAATTAATACAAAAACGGACGATATTAAGCGATTTCCCCAAATCCATGTGTCATCGGCATGCATTTCAATTGCGGACCAGCGATCATCACGATATTCCAAATTACACAGTTCGAATGGCTGGTAGGATCCAAATAATTCAGATGATATGGACTTCATTCTATTCAAAATTAAATCGGTGTAAGCTGGCATTCCATGAAAACGATCCATTTTCACTTTTTTATGCTTGAAATTAACACGAGGTCCATAATCCTGGAATTTAAAGGAATAAAAAAAAATTGCCTGAATGCTATATCAGAAAACGAACATGTAGAAAATGAAACGATCGTGAAGCAAATATAGGAATACAAACAAAGATATTAATGATGACATATGTGTGAAAATATAAAAAAATATTGAAAAATAATCAGATGAAAAATAATCAGAGTGTTTCGAGGCAATTTTTGTCCCTCAAAGAATGTAAATTCGACTCTGGGCGAAAAAACTGGGGCAAGCGAGAAAGAAGCTAGTTAGATCCATAGGCCTATTTCTCAGAAGCCGATTTCTTGATGTAAATATCGCCTGGATTTTACCTGTTTCCGACGTCCAGATTGTGAAAGAATCCAATCAGTTTGATCGATTGCGCGCACCAAATCTTCCTCTTCTTTTTCGTCCAAAAAATCCGGAACAACGTGAAGACCGGGAACGACAAGAGTATCCTGAAATTCAAAAAAATAAGGAAATAACAAAACGGATTTCTATTAATGAAATATGAATTACCCGGGTAATATGATCAGTTATATTCAGTTGATTGGCTATACTATGGATATCGTTGAGTTGTGGGCGTTCGGGAAGTGAGCAATCACATGATGCCAACTGGTGACGCGTTGAATACACATACTTCTGATAAGCTGCATATGGGTCTTCCTCGAACAGTAATTTTGCAACTCTGAAAAAATATCGTCCTAACAATGTAATAATTAATTTTATTTTCTTATGTATACACTTTTTTCGATCAATAACAAAAATCCCTAAGCATTTAATCCCCTATCTATCAACTTTCGCTGTTCTCTCTTCTGCTTTCGTCAGTGATCATGATTCGCATACGTGAGTCTGCTTACCACGTGAATAACCACGTTTTACCAAAGGCCGCATTTTCACCTTCC